AGTAATAGTAATAGTAATAGCAAAGCGCAAGCCAAAGGTCAACAGTCCGTTCTCTCAGTAGCTGACTGGTGCTTAAGGGAGAGTGAGGGCGCGGATCCCTAGATCAATATCGATATAACACTCCATGTATACAAATTAAGGATACCCATATTCACTCCCCCGCTCCCCTTAAGCACCACTTGGAGAGTCAGGGGGACTTCCTAAGTACGTTAATAACCCCTATAACCCATGGTAACCGTACTTATCCCATTATTAAGCCACTTACTAATTCCCCCTGACCCTCCAAGCAGAGGTCAGGTCCAGAATAATTGCAACCCAATCAATACTCGCTCGCGGCAGCAGTGGGCAGGCACCTTTCTAAAAGTCCTTGCACACCAGTGACAACCTGCAAGCGGACCGAAGTGGGTATGCAACTGGGTATGTCGGCTTGAGGTTTAAGCGGTTTGGGGTTTAGCAGTAAGCCTAAAACTGAGGACCTTAAACGCGCGGGGCACTAGGGTTAGGAATTTGTGCTTCAGGGCTTAGGGTTTAAAAGCTGAAGTGGCCTTAGAACTTCGCCTGACTTCCCCCATAAACTGATCAAGACCTAAGTGGTTGTTGAGCAGAGCTCTTTGGCATGGTCCCGACGCACTCCTATATTCCTACTAAACGCTGCACGGCGCGGCGACCCAGATGATACGAGCAGTACGAGTAGTAGTGGCATAAATACGCCTCAAGGCGAAGACAGAAAGGAGGGCTTTGGATAGCTAATAATGGACATATGCAAGTATAATGCAGTCTGAACATTCAGAGTCGTGCACGCTAGGCTGCAACCACGAGATTCTGAGCCCCACCTCTCAAGGCTGTCCGACTGTCCACATATCGGAGACCCTAAATCCGGCGGTTTTGTCAAGGACGCTCTCAGGTGGTCATTTACCCAGTGGGTACCCCCATATAGGGCTCATATAAGGCTCGTGTTAGGGTAATGGGGCTATATGAGCTCTAAAAAAGCCTTCTATGACTGTACCCCGCTGATAAATATTCACCTGGAACTACTGTTGATTTTGGGGCTTGTATAAAACCCTAAACCCCCAACCCTTTTGGGGCCCAACCCCATAGGCCCTAAGCAACCCAACGCGTGTGCTGGGGCCGAAGAATTGAGCCAAGGTTCTGATTGTACGGAGACTATAAGGGCCATGACTACAATTACCTTAGGTAGGTTTTAGGGTTTAGGGTTTTAGGGTTTAGGGTTAATGCTGTTGCTGAATGGGTTGTAAGTACCCTAGACCTCCAGGTATAAGTGCCTAAATCGCGGGATTGCGCATGCGGGCCCTCGGGATACGGAGGGATCCTTTCTAAGGATTCTATGGGAGCTTCCGCAAAGAAGCTGTTCTTTTCTGGGAGTCTCTATACTGAGGTTTGTAGCAGAACGGGGTCTAAATTGGGGCCGCTAAGCCCTAAATCTTACAACTTATCATAGGCCCAGATACACCTAAGTCCCTAAACCCTAAACCCTAGACCCTAAACACCTCGTTTCAATTCCACTTTCCATGTTCTTTTCCCACGCGGTCTCCAATTTAGGGGGATGGCGGCTCATAGAATAGGGCTTAGGGAAGCTAAGACGCTAAACCTTAATAACCCGAAAACGTCTTAAACCTCCCCAAACCTTAAAACCTAAACCCCTACACCCCTAAACCCTAAAGCCCTAAAACCCTAAACTCTACACCATGAACCATATGAGCTATATTCTAAACTCCCAGTATCCCCCTTCATAACCACTATAATACTTCCCTATACAATCCCCTAAATAACCCCTTTTAAGGAGTTGAGACTATAGCTCATATAGGGATGAAGAAAATCTGGCTGTCGCCTGCATGGTCAGCATCTGGCTTTCTTCCCAGGCCTTGCATGAAGGTTTACAATTGAAGGTTTAGGAATTAGATTCTTAGGGCGTAGGCTTTGGGTTTCTAGGGTTTCTAAGGCTTAGGGTTTAGGGCTTTGAGTTTTTTAGGGTGTAGGGTTTAGGGTTGTTGGATTTTTTGGAGATGTAGGGCTTTGATGGTTTCCAGGGTTGAGAGTTTTCAGGATTCAGGGCTTAGGTTTCTAAGGGTGTCCGTAAGGTTTTCAGGATTTATGGCTTAGGTTGTTTGGGGTTTTGGGTGGTTTCTAGGGTTTAAGTCTTAGGCCTTAGGCAGTTTAGGGTTTAGGTCGTTTTAAGGTGTTTAAGGTTTAGGGTTTTCGCGATGTCTAGGATTTAGGGTTGAGGTTGTTGAGGTGGTTGAGGTTGTTGAGGTTGTCTAGGGTTTGGGGGGGTTCTAGGGTTTGGGGGGTTTGGGGGTTTCTAGGGTTTAGGGCTTAGCGGTTCTAGGGCTTAGTGTTTAGGTAGTTCAGGGTTTTAAGGACTTTCTTTTTAATTTTTTCGTTCAGGTTTTATAGGGTGTACAGCGTTCATTGAGTTGTAAGGTTGCCAGTTTATAAAGTTTGGAGAATAGGGAAATCAAAAAAAGGAAAATCAAAAAAAGGAAACGACATGGAAAGCGAAATGGAAACTGGGAAACGTATTGATCGTCCAGGTGAATTTAAAGTAACTGCAAATACGAGACCTATAACTGGGTGGCCATAAACCCTAAACCCTAAAACCTAAACCCTAAACTAGATTCTAGATCTCCTGGAGCTCCAGGTAGTATGGAGAAGTTCTGGTGGTTTAGGGTTTAGGGTTTAGGGATTGTCTAGCAGAGTGCGGCCTAGAATTTTTTGGGCTTGAGGCCTCTACTTGGAAGGTCAGGGGGACTCCGTAAGTAGGTTAATAATCCCTATAACCCATATAGTAACCCTAGTTATCCCCATTATTAACCCACTTACTAAGTCCCCCTGACCCTCCAGTAGAGCTTTGTAACGGTTTGGAACTGTCTTTTCCTGGCCGCGGGGAGATCCAAAACACAATCAAAAAGACTCAGGCGTAATACCATATGCTACACCCAATCCCTACAGGACCCCAGCTGATTCGGACGCCAAATCTTTTAACGCTGAGCCCCTACACCAAACTACTATGCAATCCTGCAGAGATGATCTAAACCCCAAGCACTAACTTCCCGGCGGGCGCTCAGAGACTTCTGGAGCTCTTCACAACGCTTTTTTCGGTGAATCCTTTTGAGTAGGTCAGGCTATGTCTGGAAATGCTCATACCTACATGGGCGCCACACAAACAAGCTAAACTTCCTGACCCAGAACCCCGTGACTCCTAAGCCCCTGAAAGCCATATTCCAAAGCCCTAAACCCCAAAACCAAAAAAAACGCTAAACCCAAACTCCCAAAACGCTAAACCTCAAAGCCCTTGAGGGCTGAAACCCCTCAACCCAAAGGCCTGGAGCCTAAAACCGCAAAGCTCTAAAGCCCAAGCATCTGAACCATCAAGCCCTAAAGACTTGTATAGGGTTTAGGGTTTAAGGCTGAGGGTTTAGGCTTGAAGGCTTAGGATTTAGGGTTTAGGGCTTAGGCTCTAGGGTTTAGGTTGGGGTTATACAGGGGTTATCTGTGGATATTACCACAATAATAGAGGAATGAACTGGAAGCTAATGAACTGGAAGCTACTATAGAATTCACCGTTCAGCACTTCTGGTGTACAGCCCAATAGTGGCGAATCACATCACATGGAAACTGGGGTTATATGAGGGGTTTTAGGGACAATGTAATGTAGGAGCCTAACTAATGCACCATAGTATAATCCTAAGTTCCTTGTATAGCTATGATATAATGTCTCAGGTGCCTCTTGGGACATCTCGTGCCCCAAGACAGCCGCTGACCTCAGAAGAAAAGGCAAATGAATACTGACGTGCAGAAGCCCACACCCTAAACCCTAAATCCTAAACCCTAAACCCTAGATTTAGGGTTTAGGGTGTACGGTTTAGGGTTTGGGGTTGAGGGGAGTACGGTCCCATACGCCCTCCATACCCCTCCTGCAAGGTGTAGAAATCTTGTGGACAAGGCATGGAAGTGGTATGGAAACTACCCTCCTATAAGCTACCCACCTGACCTGTAAGTGGCTCCTAAGATGGGGCGGGACCTTTGCAGTTGCCACGACGAGGGTAGGATAAGCCGACTAATTAACAAGGACTCATTCCCAGGAGATGACCCTAAACCCTAAGCCCTAAGTGTCTCCTATCTCTATCTGTGGGCCGAGGCCCTGGCGGGATCTCCCAGAACTAATAAAGCCCCTAGACTTGAAACCCGCAACCCTTCAAGAGAAGCCTGGAACAAACCTGTCACAGGTCCATGACACAGTGAGCAGGGTAATACTGAAGATATAAGTCTGGTTATTCTGTGGCTATAAGTGTGACTACTAAGACTTACGCCACCCCCACCCCCACCGACCCACAAGCATGGTGATAGGACAGATTGTGTACACGGACACCCGCATTCATGCATGCTAATTTGCGTAGGACTTCCCGCGAGCACTGCAAAAGCAACAACTGACGCATGCAACAAATCTCTGCTGTTGCTACCCCTCAGAACCTGCTAACTAAAAAAACACACACATACACACCCGCGCGCTTGCGCAAAATAGTACAAGCATAGCAAAACATTTGCCCCCAAAAGAGAAGATAGGTTTGAATGCTCATGGAGAGCTCAGTACAAAATTCTTGCATGACCATGCCCAAGACATGCAAGATACTTAGTGTCTTACGGAGCTTAACCTTAAAATTGAAACCCTTGAACTCGTAGTATCAACAGCATGAAGCCCTGCACGGCAAGCGCGTTTTTCTCACAGCCGCCGTTCAAGGTGGCCTCCGATGCCACTAGCCTGTCTAGTCCCTAGACCTCCCAAATATCCCTTATAAAGGGTTTAGGGTTTGAGGCTTTGAGGCTAAGGGTCTAGGGTTTAGGGTTTGGGATTTAGGGCTTGGGGCTTGAGTGTCAGGCTTAGGGACTTACCCCCAATAACAGAGAACTGATTCGAAAGGAACTTCGAGAAAAACATTGAAAATGTAGTGGAAACTGGGAAATATAGGGGGTTGTACTGTATAGCGTTCCCCAAAATTTGTGGCACCACTTCGGGTCTCCTTCTAATAAGGATTACACTGCTTCGGTGTCCATATTTGGGTTCCGCTTGTTTATGGAAACTACTTGGGTTTAGGGCTAAAAGCTTTAAGGCTTCCAGAGCAGGGTTCATGACCTCCCAAATACCCCGAATAAGAGCCTGTACACCGATTGCTTTGGGGTTGAAAGCCTTTAGCATGGAAAGTGCGGAGGTCGAGGTATACAATGCCCTGAACCCTAAACCCCTGAACCCTACCTTAAACCCTAAGCCCTAATGCTTCAGAAGCCGGGCCGGAGACAGCTAGCTGCCTGGGTATGCCTCGACTGAATCTGTCTCACTCCTTTCGGTGATATGGGGATATGGGTTAGGGTTTAGGGTGAAGTTCAGTCCTACAGAAATTCTAAACGGGGCATGCCTAATCACCTTATGATCCCCAAATATCCCGAATGTCCAGAAGGAACCACTGTTGCGATAAACACCCATGGCCCTGGTTGTAGCCGGGATACTAGAATCAACTCCTGAAACAAGAGAGGGATCACAGGTGTACAGAGTGCAGGAGTCAACGTAACACGCAGAGGCACAATGAATTTAGAACCCAAAAATTTTCTCAATAGCGTAGGAATTCCTAGAGTCCTTATGTAACTCTGGTATAGGATACCTTGAACAGACCTGAGAAGCATATTTGTATTACCATGATAACGGCATCATCCAAAATCAGCTGCTGACAACAGTTTAGGTACCTTTACCCAGTCCGCTGGGAGGATCTTCAAGGTAGATCCCCCTGAAGGGTTCCTAGAAATGACCCAATAGTGAATTGTGTACGGTACCATATTTGAGGTTATACTTTCTAGATCCTCCAGGAGGTCTGAGCAGAGACCCTAGGAATATCCCTAGGGTTTAGGATTTAGGGTTTAGGGTTCCGAGGGGATTTGGGTCCCTATTTGGGTACACAAACGCTGCATTTCAAGGTACACCCACACAAATTCAAACGAGAGCCATCACTGAACCGTACAACCTAAACCCTCAACCTGAACCCGGAACCCTAAGCCTTAAATCTCGGAAAGGAAAACGGAAGCTACTAAGCCCTAAACCCTAAACCCTGAACCCTAAATCAAGGTCCTAAACCCTAAACCCTAAATCCTAAATCAAGGTCCTAAACTCTAAACCCTAAATCCTAAATCAAGGTCCCAAACCCTAAACCCTAAATCCTAAATCAAGGTCCTAAACCCTAAGCTGGTTCCCAAGTTGCCCTTTTGCTCGGAGGCAGTGCGCTGAGTTCAGCAAGGACCTCGCGCTGGCAGACCAGTCCAGCAACGCGGCATCTAATCCTCTCCCCCTGATAATGAAACCCCCCCAACCCCTTAATTACAAATATAATGGTACTGGGTTTTCGAGGGGGTGACATTATTAGAGGCTGGGATTAGGAGTGCATCCGAAACTTAGGATCCAGGATTTAATGTGCAGCTTAGGATTTAGAATCTGATGTGGGGTTCCAGATTTAAGTCGAAGTTCAGGCCTCGGGGCTACCTTCCGCAATTGCAGGGGCCCACAAAAAAAATGCAAAACGCTTTGCAGTAGCAGTAGGATGTCGTTGCAGTGGTAAGCGTTGACAAGGATGGTGCCGAATTAGTCGTTTTGCTCTGGGTGGGTTGCCTTGATCATAAGAGTGGGCTTCTACATTCCCTCAGTCCCCTGGTTGTAGTAGGTGCTGTTGAAGGTACTGGCTATTGGGGTAGGGTTTACTTACAAGGGGTTATTAATTGGGGAATAAGGGAATCTATTCCTTTTAAACTGTATCTTCTTATTCCCTACAAACACCCAGTAAGTTTGGGGGGTAGAGTGTAGGGCTTAGGCGTGTGCAAGGCCCTCCCCTGCAGGATCAAATGCTTCAATGTGCAGGATTAAATGCTCCCGTCACAAAACTAAATTCCTGAGCCCCTAAACCGTGAAGTAGGAGCACAAGGGCCTGCCGCAATCGCCGAGCCCCTTCTGGATAGCTGTCTTCAGGAGTGACGAACGACAAGCGAAGAAAAGGTACTGCTTGACCTGCAGGAATTGGGGGCTAGGGTTTGGGAACTTCAGGAATTACCTAGTGAGCCTGATACCAAAAAAAGGCTAGGGACGAAACCCTTCTTCCAGAACCCATCTAAACACAAAACGCCTATCAGGCCTATCAGTCAAAAATACAGGTGATAATGTAGGCGCTGATCCTGTCGAGATCGGTTTGCGGTACCCTATCCCATAATCTAACACGGAAGGCTAGGACTACATTTTCGGAAATGATCTCTATGTAGTTTATGGACGGTTTAGGGTTTAGGGCTTAGGGTTTAGGACCCCTATGTAACCCCAGGTAAATCTATTTTTCCTTGGCACGTCCATTTGATTCTCGACTACGGGCTCTACATACCCTTTTTCATATATTGGCAACCCTAATTCCCAAACTCTAAACGCTAAAGTCGAAACCCGATAAATCCTTGACCTTAAATGCTAGACGCTACATCCTAGACTTAAACTCTGAATGCTAGATCCTACATCGCTACATCCTAAACCCTAAACCCTAAACCCTGAACCCTAAACCCTTAACCCCTGAACCCTAAACCCTACATTAGGTCCAGGTCAGCTTTCGGATTGTATGATTTATGCCCATTTGTCTCTATTGAACCATGAAAACACTTCGGTTAAAGCCCCCATGTAACCCCTGTATAGCACTAAGCTTCCATCTATTTTTTCCATGTTACGCTTTTCCGTCTGATTTTCCATTTTGGGGGTCATCTACTACCCCAGATACCCTATAGTTCGATGTTGCCGAGCATTACCCCGACTAACCCGTGCAGAACGCGTAAAACGGTAGCGTCAAAAAAGGCGGCACTAGGGAAAACACAGCTTTCCTTAGCCCAGGTCAGCCCCGTAAATGACCCGATGTTTTTTGATGATTGCTTGCTTGTCCTATATTCCAGTTCCCTGGGCTGGGTACATAGGTTATGGAAGGGGCTATAGTTTCCCTAGTTGGAAAATTGCTTACAAGCTGTTACAAGGTAAGGCTTTGGCTTTGGGTTTAAGGTGTACGGGCTAAGTAGAGCTAGAATCTGCCCTACCCATCCACCAACCCAAAAAAGCATGGAACCCCTCCCCCCCAACCCAAGAAAACAGTATATGCTGCCTGGAAGTCTACCTGGTCGAAGACAAGCTATAACTCTGAACCCTAAACCATTGCCACGTAGTCTACCAGCTGCTTAGCCCTTTGCGAGTTGAGTAGATCGGGTTCTGGAAGCAGGCATTATGGCATCCCAGTCTCAGAAACATGTCTCATCCGGATGGGCTGCAATGTCGCAAAAAGAAAACAGAAGAAGCGCAACAGTTGCGATAGCGGGAAGCCTTGCTTGCATTTGTTGTATCGCTGGGCTTTGCGATTCGGGCGGCGCTTTTTGCCGTGCATCTACCACAGGAATCTGGCATGTGCACATGAGAGCTTATTGCTCCCAGTGGCTTGCTAAAATCAGATACTGAATCTTCCGCAGGAGATCTTGAATTCGAGCACGTCCTGCGAACACCATAGATAGATTTGCCATTTTGTCTTTCGACATTTTATCCTCTGGCTTGTCGTTTGGCAAGCCAAAGAATTTTGGGACGGTGTGCTTGAGGAACTCTTCCTGATCATCGCGTAAGACGACGTTGTTGCCGTTGTTGTTGTCCACCGCGTCTTCTTCTCCAAACTTCTGAGCTGTTTCCTGACATTGCTTTTGAACCGTTTGCACCCGTGAAGCAATTTAAGCACCCTTATGACACTTCAGACCACATGTACAAATCTCGAAAAAGGTCTGAATTTTACCAAGGTCTCGTGAATGAAAATTCTGAGAAGCTTCTGGACTGCCGTGTATTTGCGCAGAAAGTCAAGCTGCGATGGGCTACCAAAGATTGGCTTGCCGCTGGGGGGCACATGCCGGCTCAATTCGACAAATGCTGCCAACCTCAGGCTTTCAGCCGGTAGCATACACACTCGCTTTCATCGTTTGCTGTGCGCAAAGTTTGAACCTTGAAAGAGTCCCGTGAACGCTAAGCCCAATGCTTGAATTTGCGGTGCACCGAAAGAATGCATCCTGAATGAGGACCCCCATCATCCCTTAGCATCCCACACTAGAATTCCAAATATTTCCCGAGGTATGAACTACTTAGGGCCACGTAGGACTAGTAGTATCAACCGTAGTTCGAAACCCTGAACCCTATAGCCCAACGTTAGCAAAATCCTTCTCCCTAGACTTACGCCCTAAACCCTCTAAAATCTCGATCCTAAACATAAATCCCTACATCCAGGACCCTACACCCCAAACCCTGCACTACGTGAGCTAACTAGTATCCCCCTTAATAATGGAGAATCAAATGGAAAAGAAAATGGAAAATGAAATGGAAACTGGGATTATATAGGGGATTCTGAGGGTTATAGTCTAAACTCCTAGTATCCCCCTTAACAACCCCTGTAATACTCCAATAATCCCCTATGTAACCCCCTTTAAGGACTTTAGACCCTGAACACTAAACCCTGAACCCTAAACAGTAGTTTCCATTTTCTTTTCCACTACCCGTATAGTGGTCCTCTATATAATCCCCTATATGCCACCCTTTTAAGGAGTTTAGACTATAGCCCCTAAACCCTAAACCCCAAACCCTAAACCTTATAAAATACTATTATACCGAAGAAGGAGGATAGAATCTTACTCTATATTGGGTACCATAGTATCCCCAAATAAAATACTACTCACGTGGAGGCCAAGAACTTAGCATCCTCATTGCAGCCATGCTCTGCAATCGCCGACTCCAAGGCCGCCGTGGCCACTATTAAAGCATCCGTGGCACGGCAGACACCTAGGGCTCAGGGTTCTCAGTTAGGGTTTAGGGTTTAGGGCTTAGGGTTTAGGATTCGGGGTTTAGCGTTTAGGATTCAGGGTTCTCGGTTATGGGTCTATGGCTTAAGTTTAGGATTAATCACTTCCCCATAACATTAAGCGCCCCCCCAATATTAACTGAAATCTGCCCCACAAACTACTTGTAAAAGGGCCAAGACTAGAGTTAATTCCTGCACAGATCCTCTGAATTATGGGGGGGACCCTGACCCGACTTTTTAGGATTAAGCATCTGCTTCATCTTTTTGACTTGGATGGTGTTGAAATGGTTTTTATACAGGAATTTATATAGAATGTGAATGCGATGTTAACTGGGTTTGTTGCGGTTTGAAATCCGTTTGATTTGAGCAGCTTGTAATGAGATTTTACGTGCGTTGCAATTGATTTTAGTCGGTAATTCGGTTCTAAAAAGATTTTAAATGTATTTCACATGGATTTCAATGGGTTCGATTATTAGTTTGAATTGATTGTAACTTGACTTTATTTAAACTTTCGTTCTTTTGGCCCATGGCCCATGGCGTTTACTTTGATTTTACTTGTTCTATTTCGGTTTTATTACGTTTCTGATTCAAACGCATCGTATTTATTTATTGGATTTCATCGAATTTTATACGGTTCTAATTAAATTTCAATAGGACCCCATTATATACCCCCTAATGTTTGGGCCGTACGATAGATACCCCCCAACAGTATTAACTACGGTTCAGAATATGTACATTAGAGGGGGAGGGAAACCCCATTAATATTAGGGGGAAAAGATTAGGTGTAAGGATTTAAGTTTAGTTTACGATTTAGGCTTCAAGGTCAAGGATTCAAGGTCACGGCTTTAAGGATACGGGCTTGCTGTGATATGGCACTGCAGCAGGCATGGTCATGGCAGAGTCGCTTCGAGTGCATTGTGGCCCCACTCAGCACATTCACCCATCCCACGCCCTCTGAGGGTGCCAAACCACCCAAACCTACTCTTTTAGGCGCATCTTGTTCAACAACAAAATGATTTCATTACAGGCATCTCCTGCTTCGATGATCCTGTGGGCACAGCCTTCCGCTTGGAGGCCCTTGGAAAGGTCTCTCCGCAGGCAGGCTGCAACGCATGAGTTTCGGCGGCCCACCCTTTTCAGCGAGGGGCGGAGGCTTAGGGCAGCCCAAATGGGCGAGAAGTCCCTTTTGGAGTGGCGTGCAAATGGGCTGTCAACCTGCGCCGTCAAGGTCGAGGGAGATAACTGCCGCCCACCATCGTAGGTGGGCAGCCTTAAGCTTGCGTTTACAGTAAACGGTTCCGGATTAAGGTTGCGTCTGTACGCGTCGTGCGTGCACCTGAGACACTTGCTTGGGCTTAGAAGGGAATATGGCAATATAGTACATAGGGATTGTATTCCTTTATTCCCTACTACCAGCAGTAAGGAAACGTAAGCAGATTCCTGTCTTGTGGACAAACAAATCACGTTGCACATCCCAAGCCTAGAGCGCAGGATTAGGGTGCGCACACACTATCACGCGCTCTATCCTCCCACCGCAACCACCCAAACTATTCTCAATAATGGCTTAGGGTTCCTACCCTCCCAACCTCGCAAGTTGGCTGACTTACTTGCTTTTGTGCATCTGCAGGTACATGTATGGATTCCTAGAAACGTTCGATCGAATCTCTTGAAACAGAGAGCAGAAAATCAACGATCGTGAAGGCATGCGTCGCTCGTGGCCTAGGGCCGCTCGCTCCTCACGCGCGATTTTCAACAGTGGCACACAACGAAAGACTAATGCAGAGCTGCTTCTTGCTAGAAAACCGGCTTTGCGTGGAGGCATGGGTAATTAGCGTGCTACTGCATGCCGGCACAGCGTTTCAAACCATTGAAGACTGACTTTGCAAGCCTGAGCGTTTGAGGCTCCCTGGGTTGCCTTGGAAAATGTGGGAAACGGTCTAAAATGTTGAAGAGCCCTGGAGGTGCCTGGAAGGTCCCCTGGGATGCGTTGGGAAGCCCCTGGGAGCTGGACCCAGGGCGCCCAGGGTCCACAGACCCAGAAAGGGCCACAGTGAGATTCTGAAGCCAGTAAACCCAGGCTTTACCCTCCCTCACTGTATCGTCAAATCGCTCAGGCGGGAGCCCTTGGTGCGTGCGGCTTCTCAAGCGCACATGTACATGGTCAGCTGCCCTCTTGCCAGTTTAAAGTATGGGGCTAAGGCTTTGAGGGTTCAGGGTTCAGGGTGTACGGCTTAGGGTTACAGGGTTTAGGGTCACGGGTTTCATGAATGCTGGATCCTTTGCGCAGTGGCCGTTTGGGTTGAAGCACCAGTCTTCCACGCTCATGGTGTCGCTTGGGGGTGTGTCTCGGGAGGCGCCTGGCAGGTCCATCTGCCCAGTGGTGGGCTTGGTTAAAACGCCACCCCCAATTCAAGGTTCCAGGATCCAATTCCCCAAAGTCTTCTGTACAAGCCTTGATAGAAAGCGCACACAATTTCCAGGCTTTCCGGATTTCTGGCCTCCTGGATCCAAATTCCCGGAAATTGAAAGCGGGCCTCAGGTTCTGGGAGGCCCTGGAGGGACAAACACGCAATAGTAGCCTGCTCAAGCTGTAAAAAACATGTGTCTATACATTTGTATGTGTATATATATATGTATATATGTAGGGAAGGTTTAGACAGTATGGGGACATGTTGGGATTTGTAAGGTTACGTAGGGATGTCGAGGGATTTGAGTTTGGGGTTCATGTAGGGGCCTAAATATTCAGAATAATGATCTTGGGGCACATTATACTAAATGTGTCAAGGTACACCTATATATATATATGTATATATATATATAAATCTGTATGCAGACTTTGGGGGAACCACATTGGTGCCCGTTCAGGCTTCTGCATTAGTTTGTTAAAGCTGGCTGGTAGATTTTGGAAGGTTTTAAGGCGTAGGGATCAAGGTTGAAATCATCCGCATGCGGCGGTTCTCCATCCTAAGCCCCAGATATGCATATCATCCTTCTGCATCCCTGCATATCCCTATTACCCGTTTAAGGTGATGATACGGTAGGTTGTCAAACTCCGTTGCGGTACCCCCACAAGTAAAACCACATTGCAATGGGGACCCCCAAAAACACCCCGTTGACCACCATTCCAGATAAAAGACCTAAAGCCCTGAACCCTAAACCTTAATCCTCCACCCTACACCCTACAACTTAAATCCTAAACCCTACATCCCAAACCCCTCTTTCCGAGAAGCACCCCGCCTGTGAACAACTCGTGGTGCCAAATGGTACGCCAGAAGCGTGGCTCGAGGTTGGCTTCCTCCCCCATCCTGAGTTGAGTAGTGTTTGTTTTGGTGGTTGAACCTAGTTATATGGGGATTTCCCAAAATTACGGGTACCTTATTGGGGGGTCCCTATAATAAGGATGAGGTTATATTGGGGTTATATTGGGATAATGGAAAAGAAAATGGAAACTACTATAGTATATTGGGGTTATATATTGGGGTACTATTAGGGTTATGTTGAGGTTATATTGGGATGATGGATAAGAAAATGGAAACTACTATATTATAATAGGGTTATATATTGGGGTACTATAATTAGGGTTATGTTGAGGTTATATAGGGATAATGGAAAAGAAAATGGAAACTACTATATTATAATAGGGTATATATTGGGGTTATATTGGGGTTATGTTGAGTAGTGTTTGTTTTGGTGGTTGAACCTAGTTATATAGGGATAATGGAAAAGGAAATGGAAACTACTATAGTATAATAGGGTATATATTGGGGTTATATTGAGTAGTGTTTTTTTTGGTGGCTGAACCTAGTTATATAGGGATAATGGAAAAGAAAATGGAAACTACCATATTATAATAGGGTATATATTGGGGTTATATTGAGTAGTGTTTTTTTGGTGGCTGAACCTAGTTATATAGGGATAATGGAAAAGAAAATGGAAACTACTACATTATAACAGGGTATATATTGGGGTCATATTGGGGTTTGTATTTGGTAGTGTTTTTTTGGTGGTTGAACCTGGTAAGATAATATTCCTTATATAGAAATACTATACCCCAAAAGGAGGATATTATCTTACTCTATATTGGGTACCATAGTATCCCCAAATAAGATACTGCTCAGTTGAGTGTTGAGGATTTGGGGTTTAAGGTTGCGGGTTTAGGGGTTCGTGGGTTTAGGTTTAGGGTCTAAGGGTTTAGGGCTTAGGGTTGAGGATTTGGGGTATGAGGGTTTAGGGTTTAGGGTTGAGGATTTAGGGTCTAAGATTTTGGGTTTAGGGGTTTAGGGTCTAAGGGTCTAGGGTTTAGGGTTGAGGATTTGAGGTTTAAGGGTTTAGGGTTGAAGATTTTGGGTTTAAGGGTTAAGGGCTTAGGGTTGAGGATGTGAGGTTAACGTAAGGGTCAAGGGTTTAGGGTTGGGGATTTGGGGTTTAAGGGCTTAGGGTTTAGATGTTCATGGGCTTAGGGTTCAGGAATTAGCGGTTTAAGGGTTTAGGGGTTGAGGGTTTAGAGAGGAATCATAGTAATGCTAGTCATGGAAAATGAACTGGATAATAAATCTGAAGCTGTGATAATGAAATTGACACTGAGATGACAGTATGCAGGTAATATGCTTAGCGGGCAGGGCAACTACAACATGTTTCGTACTGCACTTACTACCCACTTTCTATCTAGAGCATTTGTATCCATGGGGCCTATAACTAGACTACTACAGTTACTAAGTAGGCTATAGCTCACCTGGACCTCCAAGTACTCATGCTAAGAATGGAAAGGCATATGAAAACACCACGTTGTCAGGGTTTTAGGGTTATGCTATCTGGCATGGGAAGGACAATGGGAATTCAATGAGAATTCAGTTTTGAGAATGGGAGGTAGGTTCTGTGGACTACTACAGGCATTGTTGAGGGAGCGTGTGTATACAAATATGGTCGCAGCTACATATATATGTATATACATATACATATATGTAGACATATATATATACACACACATGGGGTTTACTGTAAAGATTCATTCCATCATTGACATATCTAAGCACGTGTAAGCATCTGCGTTGCGGACATCAGAAGCTCTTTGGCACGAGCGGAGCGGAAAGCCACGACATTGACCTGCGGATCGAACATGCCAGCCAATGAGTCATGGATCTCCTGTCAGCATTGGCCAGGGTGTAGGGTTTAGGGTTTAAGTTTCTTTTTGTGACACCTTTTTTGCTCAGGATAACCCCGTCGGAAATGTTAGGGTTTAGGATTTAGGGTTTAGGGAATTGGGTTTAGCATTTAGGGCTGCGGCTTTTGGACCCGAAACCCTTAAACCTTAAATCAAGCTCCTGCCAGCATTGGTCCAGCAAGTTGTAAGCCAGATCAGAGGCACGGTCTGCTTGAAAAAAGAAATCCACGCAAAACGTAATCCTTGGTTGGCTGGGATTCAGGCGCTGGGGTTGAAGGACATGGGGTTCTCATTTTCTGAGGCAAAGAGAAAATGGCAACAAAAAGCATTTAGAATCCCAAATGCCAGCCCAGAATCATGACGGCAATGCAGTTCATAGCCATGGCATCGAAAGTCGTGCGTTTGCCAACCTTGAATATTGTCGAGGTACTATTGCAACTCATGTATGTTGAGGCCAGGTATGGGTAAAGTTGTACGATGCTCAGCAACAGCAGCAACACTAGCCACCTCAACCACAACCGCAACCACAACTGCAACCACAACCACAACCCAGCAACATTTTCAGAGTCCAGTTGGTTGCAGCTGTGCCCCAGTAGGGTGTAGGCCCCAAAAGCGGCCGCGAGTACACCAACAGTGGAGTATGCGCGCGAGTGAAAGTACACGAAGAGGCCTGTGAGAACCATGAAAGAAAAGGCCTATGCGTTTGGAGATGCAAGATTATTCAGTGATCTTCTCAGCGTTCGAGCTATCTGGTAAGGGCCTGGTACGTGAGAGAAGTAGGGCTTGCAGCTTTAGAAGGCGGACATCTGAAACATCTGGAGGCTGCTGCTGAGTTGGAAGGCATGGAAGGATGTCCACTTTCTACAACCCTAATATAACCCCTATATAATTTCTATATACTATAGTAGTTTCCATTTTCTTTTTCATCATCCCAATAGAGCCCCAATGTTACCCCAATATACTATAGTAGTTTCCTTTTTCTTTTCCATTACCCCGATTAATAACCCCAATATAGCAAGATTATGTGGCGTCTTGAAAGGGTCTGAGTGTAACCCCTAGACCTTGGCTACTACCCCCACCCTGTAACAGTCTACATTACAGGTCATATTAAGGGCTATATATAAAAGAAAAAAAACATTATCCAGCTGTCACAGAGTGGGTCAGTGCCCAACCTCGACCCCTAAACCCTAAACCCCTAAATCCTCAAACCCTAAACCCTAAACCCCTAAACCCTAAACTCTGAACCCCCAAACCCAAAACTCAAAACCCCTAATCCCTTCTTTGAGGGGAGATCCCAGCTGCGGATTGCCCAGCCTGTAAAGACCCAGGTGAATGTAATGACGGCATGGATTGCCAAGTCTGCCGGGTCACAATCGTCGACCAATCCTAGATCATAGCTTCTCTAGGGTTTAGGGTTTTCAGTTTAAGCTTTAGGGTTTAGGGGCTTCAGGAGGGACTGTTAATTTGGAATGTTGGTAGCTCTATGGGGCTTGATATGGGACTAGCGACCCCTACCAAGGTTCCCTGCAAAGGTAAAATGATCCCCTCAGAACCCACACACATAGTATAGTATAGTATAGTATAGTATAGTATAGTATAGTATAGTATAGTATAATATAGTATAACATGATATAATATAGCAGAGTATAGTACAGTATAGTATAATTTAACATAGTATAATATTAGTAACATTACAGGTTGGGGACAATATTCATTGTTGGGGGGCGGGGCGGGTGTTGCTAGGAGGAGATGATTATCAAAATCTGCGGCTACATGTTGAACGAACCGGTGTACAAACGGACAACTTTCCTTTCTTGATGCTGGCCCGAAATCCGAGCAGAATGCGAGAGATCACCTGGTTTAGGGTTCAGGGTTTAGGGGTTAGGGTTTAGGATTTTGGGTGTAGGGTCTAGGGTTTAGGGTTTAGGGTTTCGGCTTCAAGTGTTTCAGCGCTTCGAATGGGGCTTTCCGAAACCTGGGGGTCCCTTCTTGGCAGCCATGCAAAAGTCGGTATGCAAGGATCCTACCCTTGGAGACATGTAAGGGAACCCAAGTTTCCAGAAACTTTGAAAAACTTGACTTACTGGTTCTTAGTTAGGGAACAAGGGAATATCATCCCTACATCATGCCTACAGAATATCTTCCTATATTCCCTACCCTAAATTTTGAACCCTAGACCCTAGATCCGTAATATTCCCTACTAAGAACCAGTAAAAAAAAGTGGTTAAAATGTTCCAGAGTCCAACTTAGTCGCGTTCCCGATCATCAAGCCTTGGATCCGATTTAAATCCTTCACTAAGGCGGAGCCAACGTACCTGGAAGCAGGGAGTTAAAGAAAGGGTTTAGGGGTTTAGGGGTTTAGGGGTTTAGGGGTTTAGGATTTTGGGGTTTAGGGTTTAGGGGTTGAGGGTTTAGAGCTTAGGGGCTTAAACTTTAGAGCTTAGGGTTTAGGGTTTAGGGGTTGAGGGTTTAGAGTTTAGGGGCTTAAACTTTAGAGCTTAGGGTTTAGGGTTCCCTTCATTGGGGAAGATGCCCTACATCATACTAGGGATCTAATGTGGCGTGGGGTATGTTTCTTCCTGGTTCTCATACAACTTAGGGAATATTCCTAAGTTAAAGGGTATGGGGTTCTCTGGGGGACCATTGTTGGGTTTGCGGCTGTAATCACTTCCCCGCTTATAAGGAGCCCCCACCCTCCTATGACTGATACTCTTTCAGAACAAATGCTTCAAGAGGGTGGGATGGTATGAGCCGTGGGGTGGATCAGGAGTCCAGGGTTAAGGCACGAGGGCAAGAAACGATTATGCATCTCCCTTCGCGTCTGTACCGCTTCATAAACATGTTCACCAACACTGGCATAGGTACATGGACAGGAGCAATGGGGCAGTGGCTGCAATTGCTGCGGAATGCGGTGGAACCTGAGTCAGTCTTGAAATGGGGGCCCTAAAACAACCTTGGAGCCTCAATAGCGGGAAGCCTAGGGATACGTGGGGCTAACAAAGAAATTATGAGGATGAGGATATATGGGGATCGCAAGTGTGCTATTGTGTCCCTATGAGGGATTACAGGGGGATAGAATGGCGCTGGTTTAGGCAGAACAGAGGCGGCGACATTCGAAATGTGCCGCGGGGTTCTCCATCTCCAGATCCTTAAATCCTTTCCACCTATATGGGTCCCGCAGCCCGCCTCTCCCCCCCTCCCCAAGGTCAATGGGATAGAGCAACTCCCCCCAACCCCGGTGGTCCTGTGGCCTGTGGTCCGGGTCGTGTGGGTTGAATGAAGGGTATAGAGGGTTTATAATGTTTTGCATTCCTGTTATAGAACGCTTTGAAAAGATCAAAAGAGGTTTGCTGCACGGCTGCTAGAGGGTTTATCAGGGTTTTATAGAATGATATAGAAGGCGTATGGAGGACCCCCTCTGTGGTTTCCTGGAGATTTCATCGAGGTTTCCCCCCGTCGTCCTGTGACTTCAGGGGTTATAGAAAAGGTTATAGAAAGGGCTATAGAAAGGGTTACATATAGTTCGTGGCTCGTGGGGTTCATTGATATGGTCTCATGCCCCAATGGGGGCCATAATGGCGGGGAATGGGGGCCATGAATGCGGAACCCGGACGCATACATAGCAATGTTAGGGAGATTAGGCTCTATAGGGATTGTTTTGAGAAATCCCTATAACCTTGAACTCTGAACCCTAAACCCCAAACCCTACTCTGAACCCAGATCTGGAGGCGATCTGTCGGAAGCCGAAATATCCGAGCGTGAAGCACAGGAGATAAGAGCTGATACCTGTGGGTCTCCCACAAAAGGGTGGGGGCCTTAGGATTTGTGGTTTAGGGACCCTGGGGATACATAGGGAATAATATAGTCTACACTCCTAGTATCCCTCTTAATAACCCCTACCCTGCTAAATTTGAGGGATCCCTAACCCCAACCCTTAAACCATATGAGCGATATTCTAAACTCCTAGTATCCCCCTTAATAACCCCTATCATACTACCCTAGATCATCCCCTATATAACCCCCTTTTTAGACTGTAGCTCATATAGGAATGATAATATCAGGGTCCTCCTTAAGCGCGATATGGGAACATTTTGAAGGCTACTCCCACCTCGCCAAGCGTAGAGAAGATGTTCCTTGTCCCCCACACCTTAGTGGTGCTTGAAGGCTCAGGGTTTAGGGTTTAGGGGTTTAGGGTTTAGGTACTGGGGAGGGCATTACTGCCGCACTATGATGGGGGTCCATATGGGGACTATGTAGGGACCCCACTCGCCCCTTAATCACGCACCAGCAGGTCATTGCTATGTTCGAAGTCTAGGGCTTGGAGCGCAGGGCTGAGGGCTACGAGACCTGGATCTCATGGAAAAAAGACCCTGAACCCCAGATCCGATTCCCAAAATGACCTACAAGTCCAAAACAAAAGCTCCTAAACCCCCGTACAATACTCCCGAATATAATCCCCTATATAACCCATCTTGAAGGAATTTAGACTACAGCCCTAAACCCAAAACTACCCTAAACCCTAAACTACCCTAAACCCTAGACCCTACACCCTAAACCTTACACCCTAAATCCTAAACCCTAAATGCTTTCCAAGTCTGACCCAGAGGCCTTCAAAGATAGCTAGGAAGCCACCAGGATTTGGAGGCGGGGGAAGTGAGGCCTGGATGTTAGGACCAGGCAGGGATGTGTTGAAGGGGTTATAGCTATACGGGTTATTACAGGAATATAAGAATCCACTATAGTCTAATACTATATAGGATAATATAGTATGATATGATACAATATACCTTCATATGATGTAGGGGTTAGGGTTTAAGACTTTGGGTTTGAGGGTTTTGTTCTTGGAGGAAGGGGTCTAGTTTAGGGTTCAGGCCATATGTACTATAGTCTAAACTCCCTAAGGGGGGCGGGGTTATATAGGAGGATATACATATGAGGTTCGGCTTTTAGGTTGCGGATCGTGGGTTTTGGTTTTGGGACTTCGGGACGGTGTTGGTGACCCGGCGGGGCCTTTGGGGAGGATACGCAAAGGAGAATAAACTCCCAAACCAAGAGAACTCTAAACCCTGAATTATCGTTTGAAGTGACCACTTGTAAATGGGGAGGCGATCCTAACATGGATCAGTCCCACGCCCGAAAGCCTTTCCAAGAATCCTAAATCTGAAACAGGGAATAATCTTTCCCATATAATTCGTTTGGAGAAGATATTTGGGACTATACTAAACCACAGACTGAAGAGACTAACATCTAGACCCTAAACCCTCAATCTCCTGCACCCCTAAACCCTAAACCTTTAAGCCCTCATAAATCCTAAACCTCCTAAACCCGAAACCCGCGAGGACCCAAGGCAAAAATCCGATGGCCTCGCCGCTGGAGAACTTGGAAACCCCATCCGCCAGCTGGATGACCTTTCCATGATTTTTTAGGGTTTAGGGTTTTAGAGTTAAGGGCTTTTAGAGTTTAGATGTTTTAGGGCTTAGGGCTTTGTGGTTTAGAGGTTTAGGGCTTAGGGCCCAGGGGTTAAGGTTGTAAGGGAGTAGTGGGTCAGTAGTTCCAACGGCGGAGAGTTAAGTGGAAAAAGCTGGAACATCAAATGGAAGCTGTGGTCTCATAGAGGGCCGAACATGGTCTATAGGGATTGTGGTGTTGAGTCTGGAATCTTCGCCAACAGTATTCACGCAGAATCCTTACATCGTTGCAGCAGAATGTTGTTCAGAGCCCTATTCCAACAATTTTTCAGGGCCCTGCATTAGGGTTTAGGGTTTGCAGTAATGCAGGGGCACAAATGGGAGTGTCTCAAAATGCCGGAGACCTGGGCAGCCCAGGAACCTTTAGGGTTCCTGAAGCAAACCATTGATCCCTAAGCTTATGCAAGCCCTGTACCTGTACCCTCCTATACCTCAAACCCCAACCCCCCTTGCCCCCCCCCCCCCCAAAGTATATGAACCTCTCCGACGATGCGGCTGATACTCCACTGTAGCCTGGGCTATCAAATCGGCAGGATTCAAGATGTAAGGTTGAGGATTTCTGGCATAAGCGCAGATTCCATGTCTCACATGGGAGTTTTCGCAGATGGGCTGTAAATACCAAAACCCGATAGGAATGGACCGCTACCTTTTGGATCCCTCACATGGAGCTCGTTCACAATTTTACTCGAAACTTGGCTCTCGCCACAGTCCAGGCCGCAATCCTCGCAGCAGTTATCGCTTTAGGACCCTTGATGGCCATTTCCACGGCCCCGCATGGAGCCTTCTCAGAATGTTGTCTAACATGAGACCCACTGTGTACCTGAATTTTCGTAAGGCGTTGTTTCAAGCTCACTGTGAAAGTATGGTACTCGGCTTGCTTCGCCGGCACTCTCACGGATTTGAAGTCGACCCATTCGGAGTTTCCGAGAAAATCAATTCGAATCTGAACGCATTGAAACAAGGACCCATGCAAGCACGTCAGAACTCCCGTGCATCCTTGCACAGCTACTGTGCTTCAGCCCTAATATAACCTTTCTCCTTAGCCCGAAACTTGACTTGGAGCATGGACAGAACTCGTGTCATAACATGGCTTCGAGGGCTGTAAGGATAAGTAGTGGCACTTTGCTAAGTCCGCCCGACCCAAAAACTACCCTAACCCTAAACCCTGTTTAGTCTATGACTTTCCATGTTCCTTTCCACAAGGTCCAAGCAACACCTGAGCTATGCGCAGTTCTTGAAACATAGCTTCAGCGAGCTTTCCAGACTTCTGCGTGCTTTGGGCCACTTCCAGCCTTCTGATTTCGTCTGAAGGGGAGGGTTCGGAGCAAGCTTACTACCATTGCTTTTATGACCGCCGTTATTGTCATCGTTGATGTTATGGATTGCTACTAATGTTGTAAATGCTCTTACTATGACTGTGATTATTCTTGCTGCTAGTCTTGCTGATGTTGTTACTGTCGTTGTTGCTATTGTCGGTGTTTCTGTTATTGCTGCGGCTGTTGTCACTGCTGTTGTATGAGATTGCTTCTGCTCAGCAATTGCTCTTGTCTACGCTTGTTTATTTGCTTTTGTATATCATTGTTCTTCTTAAGGGGCCCCTCGGTCCCTCTGTGGAGTCCTACTAGTTGGGATTATGTGCTACTCCACGGCCTTAAACCCCAAACCCTAAACCCTAAACCCTTAGCTTTTGGGACCCCCCAATTGCGGCTGAGACCTTCGGGCCTTCGGGCTTTGGATCGCGAGCTTCGGCTCGGCAGAGCGTCGGGTTATAGGGTTCTGGGGGATTAGGCTTTAGGGGTCGGAGTTAGAGTTTAGGGTTTAGGGTTTAGGGTTTAGGGTTTAGGGTTGTTCCGGGTTCAGGTTTTAAGCTTTAGGGGGCTTAGGGTTGGTTAGGGTTGTTTAGGATTGGGGTTTTAGGGCTTAGTAGGGTTTAGGATTCAGGGTTGGGGTTTATTCTTCAGGGTTTGGGCTTTACTTGAAGGGTCAGCAGATCTTGGTACGTATGCTTTTACACCTTGAAATCCATATAGCGCCTCCAGTATAGCGTCTCCAGTTGGCCCCACTCTTAGCCTATTTGCGACGTGCCTCCGACCCTAAAGTTTAAACCCTAAACCCGTCTCTACCTTAAATCCCAATATTCCCCCAGTTTCCATTTCATTTTCCATTTTATTTTCCATTTGATTCTCCATTATTGGGGTATAATATCCCTATATACCCCCTTAAAGGGACCTAGGGTTATAACGTAGAGTTTGGGGCGTCCAGCCTCTTGGCATGGAAGTGGATGGAGAGCTCTTGCTCCAATCGCTCCAACTTCTGCTTGCAGCTCCTCCAGATATCACGAAATTAGATATAGGGTTTTTATAGGGGCCTATAGGGTTCATATAGGGTCCTGTAGGGTTTCTATAGGGTCCTATAGGGCTTATATAGGGATGTGGGCCACGATTTCGGATTATTGAATAACTGCATAAGTGTTTAGGGGTTTAGGGTGCAAAACGATGAGGAACAGGAGAAGCATCAAAGGCACACAATACTGTTTTTGCGGCACATGTTGAGGCATTGTTGGTGAACGTATTGCACAATGATTCTTGTCGGGACAAGTTATCGAGTTCGTGAAAAAAGATTATCACCTGTAGTGTTAAAACTGTGTTCACTCACAGAACACTTCCCAAAATCAATATGGAACCTGGCAAAACACGCTTTTACAAACTCTGCATTCTCAGTCTTCATGGGGCCTCGTTTTGGCTTTCCATGTGAGTTTCCGGGGGAAGGCAACATTAAACCGCCCGAAGCTCTACATCTGGGATCTACTTGGAGGTCCATGGTACTTATAACCTCCTTAGTAACTGTAGTTATAACCCAAATATATATATATATATAGGGTAACTGTAGGTATGAGGCTTATAATTATGTTGTAACTACAGTTACTACGTAGGTTATAAGTACAATGGACCTCCAAGTAGAGCTTCAATTCTGAGCCCTCAACCTAAACCCTAATATCCTGAACTCGGAGGCCTACATCCTCCATCCTGAGCCCTCAAATATAAGTCCTGAAACCCAAGCCGCAAATCCTGAGCTCTAAACCTTGAATCCTCACACTACCACCTAAATCCTAAAAAATGTCTTAGCTGGGGGCTCGAAAATCACCACGCGGATTGCAAGCGGCATAGAGCATCAAGGTAAAGCTTCTGGGGCCGTTTTTAAACTAGGTTCCCCAGTAACCCCAGAATGATGAGGGTACCCTTTTTCCTAATGACCCCAAAAATAAAAAGGGAAGAAGGGTACCACTGGGATACCTAGTAGCGAGACCCTAAACCCGAATGTTTCTGGCTCTCGGGACCTGTCCCAGCGTTCCTGTTGCCTTTCGCAAGGCCTGCCTCCAGGCTCAGTCAGGGCCTCTTCTGGGCTTCCCAAGTTTCTCAACGCCTCCCAGGGCCATTCAACATCTTCATAGGAAGCCGTGGGCTTGCAGGCATCTCCACAAAACTGCCGCGGCGCAACAGCATTTCAATTGAGCGCTGGGCACTGGTCTATGAGGAGGGCAGCTCGCGCGCGGCCGTCCCAAGCAGATCCGGAAGTAACCCGGCACAACGGCCTCACAGAAACCCGCCAAGGACACCAGCATGAAATATGGTCCCTAAGTAGCCCCACAGAACGCCAGCAGTCGAGCGCTGCCCGTCAACCTGGAAGCCACTCGGCACAACAAGCGCGCGGAAAAGCCAGATGGTGCAGACACTGTTCAACAACAAACCCTCAACATTGCGCTGCGAGCGCTGAGAAATCTGGCGCGATTCCAGATGTCAACATGTCTTCACGTGCGACTGTTCCGGAACCTCACAGAAAGGCAGCACCTCTGGTGCGGACCGGTTGACGCTGCCTTGACACTTCGGCGGGATGCCTATAAGACTTTAGGAGCTAAAGCCTAAGTTGTTTGAATTGAAGATTGGGCTGACCACGCACGGGTGCGAGCGCCCTGGGCGTGCCCCACCACCAACAAGCACCCCATCGCGTGAAGACACCCTACACCCTCAACCCTAAACCCTCAACCCTCAACCCTCAACACTAAACCTCAAAACCCGAAACCCAAACCCTTCAAAGCTCCTCACGGCTACCGTCTCACGGGGATCCAGCTTGCCATCCTCTGCAGCCTTGACGAGCAGATTCAGCATCTGCTCCATGCCTCAGTCATCCCAAGGGCGTATGTTTAGGAGTTCAAGAATTTCAGCGTGTGGATTCAAGGGTTTAGGGTGGGATTTAAAAGTTTGGAGGGTTTAGGAGGGGGAACTTAAAGAGGTAAGGAGTTTCAGCGGTTTGGGACGGAGGGTTGAGGGTACAGGCTTTGAGTTTGAGGTTTACCTTCAGGGATTCTTACTTCCTAGGTACGGTAGTGATACGGTGGGTGGGGGAGTCTTGCGCAACTCAGGACCGCAAAAAATACTGCAATTCGCCGAGAATTCCAGCCTCAAGACGTTCAGATCCCTTTAAAAACCCCCTCTACTCCCGGTTGCAGACACGCTCAAGCCTGGCCCGCCCCCCCCCCCGCCATGGTGGGTGGCCTAGTCCAGCCTGACCATCCCGCATGAAATTTCAGCAGTATGTGGCAGGGCGCATTTTTTCGTTCCAACGAAGCGCTCTGGAGGGTCCTGGAGGTTCCTGGAACGGCCTGGAAGCGCCTGGAAACCCCCCAACATGCATGGATGAAGCTGATTAACCTCTACAGACCCTAATATATACTATGGCTTACAAAATATACTATGTCTTATTTATGGGTTTCGCGTTTTAGGTACACTTAATTGGGATTTGCGGTGGATTATGACAAGAGCACTTTTGCGAGATACGAAGAGTTTTAGCTACTGTTCTGTGGCTAGACCCCAATATACATGTAGACTATTGGCCAAGTGCTTGTGGACACCAGAAGGTTTTCAGGCTCCGAATGCTATACACTAAACACTATTTTGGACCTAAGGCAATTGACTTTGGGAATTGGTAAACTCGTAAATCGATGTTTCGCCGATCTGGAAGTCTATATGCCGAACGACCAGTCCTGAACGGCGAACTCCTATGCCTCCAATCCCCACTTCTTTAGAGCCTGAGGCCTCAAACC